TAAACTTGCCATAATTCCAAACCCTCACCCTCAGACATATTTTTTCCTGAAAACGTAGGAAAAAACCTCTCCTAGTTGGAAAATTAAAAAAAATTAAGAAAAAATATTAACACAAAGCTCCTTGAGGGAACGAAGAGAGAAAAAGTCCAGCTAGCTCCAATGATTCCCATGTGAAATTGATCGCGGATCTTCTTCAGAGCAGGAGAAGTACACTTTAGATAAACTAGCTCCATCTCCACATTTTACACACAAAATCCAAAAAACATAACATATTTCAGTTCATTGGGTTTCCCTGATGCTCACGGTCTGCTCATTTTTTTATACAGACCAAGTTTTGAACGGCTGGCAAAATGGTCAGATATAATCTCCAATGCATCTTATGGGAATCAGTGCTGCATTTGGGTTCATGTGTTGCTGGCAGATTGGAGCCGCACGCACGGCACTTTTTAAAATGGAAGTTATTGCAATGCATTTGAGCTTTTCAACAATTATCATCTCTCATCTCTCTCTCTGTCTCTCTCTCACACACACAGACATCTCTCTCTCTCTCTCAAGACGCAAGGCAACACAAACAAACACACTATTTCAAACACACACACACACACACACACACACACACACACACACAACACACACACCACACACACACACACACACACACACACACACACCACACCACACACACTTCTCTCTCTCCACTCTCACTCTCACTCACACTTCTCTCTACTCTCTCTCACTCTCACACACACACCACAACTCTCTCTTGCTCTCTCTACGGCACAGGACAATCACTCACTCTCTCACACACACACTTTCACTCTCTCACAGACTCTCTCTCTCCACAGCCATAGTTTTGAACGGGTGGCAAAATGGTCAGATATACAACTCAATGCATTCTTATGGGACGCAGTGCTGCAGTTGGTTGCCTTTGATCTCTCTGGACACACACACAGGTGTTATGATTGGGTGTTATGAGTAGGTGCTCAGGAACAGAAACAAACACTGACAGACTGGACTTTAACAGACTGTCTCAGCCTATTCTTTTCTGTCTGATGGAGACTTCATACAGACTTCAACAGGTTCCACATATTTTATACATTATTGGTTACGTATGGTTTTAGTCGAAAAGTTTGCAGTCAAAATATTCTGCTGCTTGCCCAAGCCTTTTTACTTTCTTTTCTCATCTTAATACAAATTCATTCACTACTACTTACATCTTATATTTAACTCCTTCAGCCTATTTTCAGCTGCAGAAAACATTCAACTATTACATTATTCAGCTATTTCAGGACATCAAGGCTATACATGTTGTTGTTTATACCTTTTTTAAACCTTTTCTTTTAAATATTAAGCTTTTTCTGCATTTTTGTAGCTAAAAGCAGCTACCATTCAGCTAATAACATATTCAGCTTTTTCTGCATTTTCAGCTAAATTCAGCCATAAATGTTCACAGTTTACAGCATTCGCACGCATTTTCTGCAGGAAATGCATTTTCTAGTATAATTAGTCCCACAGTGGGCACATATTTAGTGTTACATCAGACACAGAGTGCAAAAATAAGAATTATCAATTAGAGAAGGACGAAAAAGATCATTCATAAGTGAACAGCAAAGAGACATGGGGGGATATATCAAACTATAAAAGACCAATCACTCTTGTTGGTTTAGTTTAGTTCAAAAGTAACTGTCAATAGAAAAATGAAGTGAATTCGGCCTGCTCAATAAGCCTGAATCCAACTGTTAGCCTGTGTACTGGGAGTTTTTTTTTCTCCTAAATCTGTACACACAGAGTCACTGACAAAAAGTAAAGTAATCGTGAGAAGAAAGGGGAAATTATTCAGATTCTACTGTAAAACTGCAATCCTCGCTCTGAACTTCAATCAGAGGTAGGTTCAGTTCCTCAATCTGACATTGAGTCATTGCTGGAGATTCTGCTGCTTTAAAGATTCAGTGATTTGAGATCGCACGAATGATCCCAGAAACTCACGCAGCAGTCAGAAGACTGACCTGTTGAGTCATGAACATCGTCTCTGAGCTCTCCTACTCAAATTTCCTCTGACATCACAATGATCTCTTTGCCACGTCTCGGTCCACTGGCATGTGTGCGTTGTCCTGTCCCTCGAAACTGAAACTGACACATGGCTACTTTTTAGCACAGTTGGTCATAGAGCCAATGTGAAAGTGAAAGAAGGGTGAGACATGACATCACTCAGTGTAGCACATGCAAAAACAGCGTGCACATTTTCTTACCTACTGTTTGTCAATAATGGATATAAAGTGGGAGGGAAAATGAAAGAATGTAGAATCGGTTGGATGGGCGTGTTGATCGAAGGAGAGTCTGGTAAACAACAGGCAAACTCTCTGCCAATTTGATGCACACGCCAAATGTTATTCCATGTTGTGACGACACTCCAAAGTTGACTGAGAACATAATACGTTGTCAAAGTCACTGTTTGGAGTCAATACAATATTAAGCACTAGATTAAACAGAAGCCTTTCATTTTCACTCATAAGGAGTAAGGTGTTTATTCTCACCGTTTGTTGTTGCTGTACCTTTGTCTTGGATCACACATTTTCAAAGTTCCAGTATAAAGGGAAAGGGAAATCAGATTGTAATTTAAAAAATGAGATATTAAGATATGAGAAACATCAGCATCACTACTGGCTTCAGCTCTACACATTCACTAAATTCATGTGCTGTTTATTTGTTTTTTAAAAAAGGACTGTCCTTCTACTTGGAATCCCCCAGCTTAACAGTGTCCCTAAACGTTGTTGTGAATACTTGTGAACACAAAGAAATAGTAAGATTCCTTTTTGTTTCATCAGGGGCATTATCAGGAGAAGCCAAGAGACTGGACTTTTTCCAAATGTTCCCAGCTCCAAATCATAAAGCCTATTTGATCATTCATGCCTATGTTTTTAAGAATTGTTTCTAAGTGGACCAAATCCAAAAACACAGAACATTGTTTGTAGCCTTTATTTAACCAGATGAAAATCCAATGGAGATCAACAATCTCTTTTTCAAGGGAGACCTGCAGCACATTGGTTACACAGAAAAACAACAGAAAACAAAAAGGACATCATGATTCAAATCAAACTTTCTACAGTAATAATATAGATGGCTATGGGTTGATGAGAGGATGACTAGCAGAGGAAAGAGGAAATATATGGATATAAATGTCAGGATGGCATGGCAGGAAGAGGAAGCAGGGCAGCGATTGCCGGCAGGCAGGAAAACAGGAACAAAGCACAGGAAACAAGCTAGCATTCACTTGGGTAACAAGTACACAATAAACACTTTCCTATAAAAATATATTATATCTTGGCTAGAGCATAGGCTTTGAATTAAAGCTCGCTTTTGTTTGTAGACCTTGGCCTTTTTTTTGTAATCTGCTTTTGGGTCCTACCTTTCCCAAACCGTAACAGACAGGGGCACACATTTTGATTATTCTTTTTCAGGTATAGATCAATTACTTTGTATAAAATGTCAGAACAGTTGTAAAAGATAACAGTGCCAGTTCCTTGAGAGAAAAAAAAACAAACCTCCCTTTTGAGAATCTGGCACCAGTGAATTTTTGGCAGTTTTTCTTCATACATTATTTAAAAGTTTGATGGATTATCGGAGACTATTTTGTTTTTTGGATTCTTATTTATTCATGTCTATATATTTTACAAGACAAAAGATCCATGAGTTTATGCTCTTTTTGCTGCATGAATACAGAATTCAACACAAATGTATATAAAGGGAATTGCGTAAATATGTGAAACACAAGTCATACAGCAGGTACATGTTTTTTTGTAGATTAAACTTGTTTTAACCTGTGCATAAAGATGTATTTCTTTGTGTGTGTTTTTCTGGCAGCTTCCACACATGCCTCACATCAGTGAGTGTCTAATGAAAAGAAGCCTGAAGCCCACCGACTTGAGAGACATGACGCTGGGACAGCTCCAGGTTATAGTCAATGACCTGCACTCACAGATCGAGAGTGAGTTGACCACAAACACACATACAACGAGTTACTGACCTCTACTTTCAATTGCAGATATGACCAAATGGGGAAAAACATGAACATGCATACTGACCCCTACCTTTGTGGATGTGAAAGTACTTTTAATTATGTTCCACAATTCATAGAATTTTACCAGTTCACAGCTTCCCCTGTGAGTATTTACTGTCACTGCACTGAACTGTGCATTGACCCTGCTACTCAGGGATGAATAATCTCTCAGCTAACATTAACCAGCTCCAAAATTCCCCCAATGAGTCCAGAGTCATAAGCCGATTTTTACTTACATACAGATTTTCCCTTTCAAATGTTTTTTGTGTGTGCTTCATATTTTCTGGAAAAAGGAGAAACAATAGTTGAAAAACATGTGATGTGAGAACAATCACATTTGTGTGGTCCGAGTGTCAATACTCATTATGGGTTTGATGGCTTTGTGAGTCATTTTATGAACACGTAATGAAAGATTTTAGGCAGTATGGTAGGGTTTCATGCAGATATATTGTCCATCTATTGATAAGCGTCACAGTATGTGGTGTTTAAAGTATTTCCATATTGTACATATATGATGTAGATACATTCCTGCTTTGTCATTACGATAAGTCTGTAGCCTGACATGACGTTTATATTCTTCCTCGTGTTATCTGCCCCTGCAGCTCTGAATGAGGAGCTTGTACAGTTGCTGCTGATTCGGGATGAGCTACACATGGAGCAAGATGCCATGCTGGTTGACATAGAGGACCTCACCAGGTGATGAGGCATTTAATGAGGACCTTATTCACTGCATTTAGCTTTCTTTCTACTCTTCTGGTATGACAAGAAACATATTTGTTTGAAGATTGGAAAGACATAGTCATAATATAATAATAATAATAATAATAATACATGGGACTTTTATAGCGCTTTTCATGAAACTCAAAGACGCTTTGACAGAGAATTAAGAAAAGACAACATATAATATATAATATATGTTTGCTATTACCAAGTCTCTTAAAAAAAGGACCAAACCAACTTCAATACTTTTTCTGACTCTCCTATTCTGTGATTCTCAACCTCAAGCCTATTTGTTCCCACTGTTCCTAAGTGTAGAGTTCATACATTTCTTCCCTAAAGGCTTCACTATTTCCCAAAAAGTGCTTTAAATTGTAGTTTTTAAAACAGTAACTTGCTAACTCACAATGTATAGTTATCAGTATTAAAACAGCAAAAATAAAAATGTGTTTGTTGTTTGTCAAAGCATAATCCAAAATCTAACTCAGAGAATTACATTTGTAACAGTAGTATCTGCTGATGTGGTCTCAAGTTGCTAAGCCGTTAAGAAGAGTGGGCTACAAAGGTGTCCCATCACTTGAGGCTGTTTATCAGCTACCTTGAAACCACAAAAAGGCAGAAATAACTTTTTTCCCACAACCCGTATTCTCGTCCCTAAAACCTGTGAACACTTTCATGTGTGACATTTCTGGGGAATCCCTTCAACAAATAGTAACTCAAACAGAAGTAGATTTGTTATATAGATATTTTTAGTCACAGATGTAGTGCGCTTACTGAGCATGTAGTGCAGCAGGACCATGCATTTGTTATTTGCTTGGTTTTTTGGGGGGTTTTCTTTTGGGTCTTTTCTTCACAACAAAATGAATAAATACATCACCAGTCTTATCCTCTCTATAACTGTATGTATAATAACCTTTTCTCTTTTTCCAGGCATGCTGAGAGCCAACAGAAACATTTGGCTGAGAGGACCCTATCCAAATAAGATGCCAGTCCCTGCTCCACCCTCTCCCCTCTCCCCTCTCCCCTCTCCCCTCTCCCCTCCCTCCTGCCCAGCTAAGCTCCCACTCCAAACCAGACTTTCCCCCTCTGGCCTTTCCACCTCTGCCCCTTGTCAATCCAAACCCCCCGCTTGTCCCCAGTATTTTGCTCCTTGCTGCTTCCCCTATCTCCCCTTGTCTCCTTTCCTGTCCAAACCCACTGCAGCAGCAGCACAGAAGAAGCTTCTGTGGTTTTCTCCCAGCGCTAAGGATGGAGGAGCACTTCCTGCTTCCTGGGAGAAAAAGGAAACTGATTGTGTGTTGTCATGGATTCTGTACCCAGCTTCCTGTGCAGTGATCGGCCTTGCTTTGCTATCGTTTCTTTTTAACTTTCTACATTCGCCACTAAATTATAACTGTCAAATGCAAAAATTGTGGGAAAAAATAAAATAATAGTGAAAAATTAAGTAGAAAGTCAGTCATGAGAAAAAAAGAAACTCTATTGTACAGATGGAAACTAACTTCTTCAGACCATTTTAAGTTGGACAGTAATTTTCAAGTATTTCAAAGTCGACCTGTTTTTATTCTGCACAAATGGTAGTTTTCAACTGAGAAATGTTTATTTGAAGGTGCTAAAAGAGTGTAAAGGAAACATGCCTGCCTTGTAGTGGAGTTGTAGCTTTTGGTAACGTTCACTCTAATTGCTCTTCAACATTTTGTGAATGTTGATTTTCTGACACAAGTCATTTTAAATGAATAAGTGTGTTAATATCGTTTTCATCCTACTGTAATCAGAAACTTTATTTGAGGGAAGAAATGTTTATGTACAGATATGTAAAATAAAGAATAAACTTTGTTTCATATACATTGGTTTGTTGTGAAGTATGTTTAATTTGTGTTGCAGCAAGTAAGAATTGAAATGAGCTTCCTCTTTCTGATGAACATAGGAAGTGTAATAAGTGGTCGCAACTGCAGTGAGACACGGGCACAATGCACGGAGCATGACTCAACTCCCCTTTTTCGCTCTTGGTCTCTTACTCTCTCATGGATCGCTTTTAATACTATTATTTTTGGACAACCCCTTTAGAGTCATAATTAGGATTTTTTTTACCCTTTCACATGAAGATGACAGCTAGTGTACTTAGAATGCATGATGACGGGTCAGTTGTGGTTCAAGGAAAACATATGAATGATGTCTGGTTATTCTTTATGTAAAATATGAAAAATGTATCTCTGATAAAATCCCCCCACTCTACCGGTGGGTCATCTCCATGATAATATACTGCATTTAAAGAGTCAGTTTCAGTCTTGAATGGTCTTATGGTGTAGCAAGAAAAAGGCCAGGAAACCCCTGTCAGCGACTCACTGTCCGCTACAGTTTCAGAGAGTGCCCTTTCTTAAATGCACAACAAGTAAATCACCGTTCCTAAGAAAACTGGGACGGTAGGGTGTCAAGCGAGGATGAAGTAAGTGTCTGTTGCCACAACGATAGTGTCACAACCTTGCGAGATGCAGTCGTAAATCCAGGTCGAGTTTAAAGATTGCCATGATCTAAGCAAGGGAAGCAAAGGGGCCTTGCATTACGTTCAATATTCATCAATTTAAGATCCAACATGCTCTATTAATCAGACAAAGGTTTCAAGGAACGTTTTATTATGTTTGTTCAGTGATGACCCCCGTTAAAGTTACAAATGTATTTTTATCATATCTTTTAAAACTTTTTTATAAAATATTATTCTGTGACCTATTTGCGTCTCTTTTTGACATGCAATACTTTAACTTTTTTACTTTATTATGATGGCTACTATCCCATGACATTTTATAGCATAATATAACTTCATTTATGAAAACATACGATACATTTGTATGCCATATTATTCTTTGACTATATTTTAATGACTTTTTTATGACTTTCTTTCTCTTCTTTTGAAAACTTGAATTTAGAGTATTTAGGACATTTTTGGCCTACTAAACTATGTCTGTTTTTATGGTGTACTATTCATTTTTCAACAAAAAATGTGTCATGTTTTTTTTATTTAGACATGATATACATGATATACTACTGACTTTAATTGGAGCATTAATTGACTGAACTGCACTGTTCAGTTTGGATATTCAAAAGAAAGATCTTGTTTCTTTTTGAGAAAGCTTCCATATCCTGTGACTTAATGACTTGTTGTCCAGTTGTCCAGTGAAGTACTACAATGTTTTGGAGTTATAGGGTCAAACAACAGTGAAGCTTTTTACAAATAAATCAAAACCTTTTAATGTAAGATATAGTTTTAAAAAATGCTAAATACTTTGTAAAGATGTACAGTATATCCCACTTATACTGATGCATTGACTTGCATTCACTGGGTCACATGACATAGAAGCTTCTCAACAGAAATCAGACTTTCCTATAAAGAAACTGCCGAACACTAATCACAGAAAATAGAAAAAGCACTAAATTCAGTCATTTCTAATTGTTGGAGGGGTTTTGATTATTCATGGTTATACATAGTATTTTTGATGTGATTCATAATTGTAGGTAGCCATGGAAAGTTTATTGAATCAAATTAGCTAGTAAAATATCAATTGTAACAAGTAAGTATTTTTTGTGGAAACGTTTTTGAACTGACAAGAAGAGAGCCATATGTATTAATATTAGCCTACCACAGAGATAGAGAGGAGACCCAGTGTTGTCTCCTGCATCTTTAAACAAATACACAAGGCAAAATCACGCACAGTTGCGTAACATTGTTACACATGAAAGACCGTAAATTGTTTCGTGTCTAATATTAAACACTAACATGATGTAACATCACACCTTGGCTCATTTATTTTTCCCGGAGCTGCTTTCGCTCGGTGAGACATTTGAAACAAACAATGCAACTTCCCGTTTCTGCATGTTCAAATGTCTGCTGAGAGATCAAGGAGGGAATTACATATGACGTTTTAGTTTTCTTTTTGCTGGCTCTCCTGCAGCAGTGTCAGGGAATCCCCCGATGTATATGCATATAAAAACAATCACATCGGGAGTCAGCAACACACTTATACTGATTCACCTGGATTAAGCAGTTATCTCCCTGACCAGAAACATGGCATTTGGTAATTTCTGTAAATCAGCGAGCCCGAGAAAAAAACTTAAGATATAAGAACATATTCCAAGTTTCTACTATTTTATCATGCTATTCTGTTGTAAACCGATAAGAGTCATATGTTGATAATTCTTATTCTTTTGCCACGCAGACTCCGCTAGCCGTTTGATACTGCTGCTGCTGCTGTCTCTGAGCTGGCGCACATCCACGGCACTCCCGGTGCGCACGGGTCTGAGCGGAGAAAAGTGCGCAGACTGCTCTTTGCTCTTTAAGAAACTCCTCCTGAATATTACAGGACTCCTCAAAGATGTGAGTACAATTCACGGTACTAGCATATAGTTAATATGTTTATTTTTCTTTCTGTTACACTTTTACACATTGTTTTATTTTACAGAGGGAGTTGTTCCATAGAATTGACACTGATGCAGCTGTGGTTATCAGTCAAACTGAGACAGTACTGGCCTGCGCACCCACTCTGACTCAGGTGAGAATTGTTTAAATATCATTGATATTAATTGTTAATGGTCAAAATCACTATTACAAATAAAAAACAACATTTTTTTGGTTTATTCATGCTTTTTGTGTAAGGGAAAAAGGTCCCACTGATTTATTTATTTTCTCAAATAAGATAGAGACGTTTTGGACATATTTTTGGAAACACACTCATAATTTCAGCACGGCTTTCACAGACTTTTACTTTGACCAAGTCATATAACCAAATCCAACGATTCTTAAGGGCCATCTGACTTAAAACAAATGTTCATATTTAAAATGATTTTACCCCACAGAACTCAACCTGCATGATGCAAAGAAATTCAACTTTCAGTGAGGTATGTTTAAGTTAACTTTCCTTTTTAAATGCTTTTGGAATTATGGGACATACTTTTCTACACAATTATAATGTAAATCCAGAATCTATTTGACTTAGTTGAAGCTTTACAATGTTATTTCTGCCATTGTATACATAAGAATTAGGATATGTTCCAATATAAATGTTATCCTCCTTACTTTGTCATAAAGCAGACTAAAATATGACGTGTAATTTGTTCCTGTTCGACTCAGAGTGAATGTCTGGGGAACATCATGAAGGACTTGGCCTACTATTCTGCTGTTATTCAGTCCTACACCAACTCCAAACTCAGACTGCCTGAAACAGTAGTGCCACTTCTAAATTCAACTTTGGAAATAATACAGAGCCTGAGGAAGGTGTGTTTATCATGCACGTGTAGGAGAAAATCTCCTGGGGAATAACATCATGAAAGTAACTTATAAAATGTTTTCATTTTTACAGAGCTGCTCCCTGACGCCAAATGGAGAGAACAACATTCCAGAGGTATTTCTGTCTTCCTACTTCTTTTTATTTCCCTATTTAATCTTCATTGCCTACAGTATTGAAGAGGAAAACTGATATTAGATTAATTCTTGTTAACATTTTCCAAAGAGGGGTTTGGGGAGGGCATGCGACTTTTGAGTCTCCATGTTTGTAACCTCTTTTCTGTCTATTAGGATGTTGGTGCACCGAAGTGGGAAAACAGCTCATACGAAAACCGACAACAGATGTTTAAAATGATGAAGGGCTTCCAGGTCCGAACCATCACCATCAACAGAGCTCTGGGCTACATTTCCTCAGGAGACCACAGGAAGTAGACGTCATGCAGCCCCTTCCGCATCATCACCACCATTTACAACTTCCGACCAAGTAGTCCTTTACACTGCATAACAATATTTATTTAAATTATCTATTTATATTTACTTATTTATTTGATGGCCTGTGATGTCATGTTATTTATTATAAGTATTTATTTTAATGAAGTACTGAAAATGGAAGTGAATTTTTCGAAATAAAAACTGATGACACTTAAGTGAACAGAAAGTTGTCAAGTTGTATTTTTATTCAGTCAACATCGCTGTGTTACAATTATTACAAAGTCTTTGGAGAGACATGATAGAAAGAGGTGCAGAAAGGACGGACAGGATTTTTGTTGGTAAGAGGTTTAAGGAAGCAATGGATTGTAAACAATACTCATCATAATGGTAGACCCTCAAAGATTTCATGATCCAAATGCCATTTCTGCAGCTTTTTATTTTTATTTTTTTTAAATAGTGTGTGAGATGTGTTGAAATAATGCTATTTGCAAAAAGGTGAAAACTAAATCAGAGCTATGACCTATAAGATAATTTAACTGAAATGTTTTCAACAGTACAGTTGGCGTTCGAAGTTGTACAGATATGAAATTAGCATTGACAAGATGATACATACAAATATATACACACATTGCCAGGCTGTAGCTGAACCACATACACTTCAATTAGGCCCTGAATCCAAATGCTGGTTAGTTTGTTTGTTCCCCAGAGTGTACACTTTTGTTAAACAAGATGTGCGTTCCAATCACAGGTTGGCAGGAATGTATTTATAATTCAAGTTAAACCACAGAAACATAATTAAGGACCTCTTGCAACTTCCTTGAGCTTTTTAAAGGTTCAGAGTTGTGAAATAAAACACGAACAGACATAAACATACAAAACCGACTTAAAAATAGATCACAGGTAGTTGGTAAAAAAAGATTATGTACAGGACAAATATAAAAATGTATTAAAAAAAAGTCCATATGCCTAGGAGAGTCAGACAATCAAGTGCGTGTGACGTAATGCCTAATATTTATATAAAAAGAATCCCACAAACATAATGTGGAAACAATATACACAGGTGGTATTTTTCCCATTCTTCGCAGTTTCAACACTGCAGCACCTACATTTAAACATGTTACTGGCTACATAATTAGCTACTGTACATCACAATGAACTCTACTGTTCATTTTTTTAAACAAAATATAGCTACATAAATGAAGCTTTAGGTACAGCTTGTCTTTTCTGTATTCATTACAGAATCTGAGGAATACCTTTCAACAAAAATAGGGAAAACGTCCTTCGAAAGATAAGACACCAGCCCTTTCCTTTAACTGTGCCAAAATAAAAACCCAGGTATCAGGGTCATTTCCAGGGATTATTGTTGAGGGGAATCACAAACAGAAGAGGTGAAGTATCTTTCTTCCTGAAGATATCCAAAGGTTGTTTCTTTTTCACTTAGCTGCTCGATTGTCGATTGTCGATTCCATGCCTGGAACAGACAACAAAAACAAAACACAATAAACTCAGACTTGTTAGTTTCTTTATAGATAAATATGGACAATTACAGTAACAATAACAGTATATTATTTGTTTTAATATAATTTAGAATCAATAATATTTTTGTATATCAATTTGACACTGCTTAATTTTGTATTGTATAATAATTCTCATGCTACATTTTTGTATTATTGTTTTACACATTCGAAAAAAATCGAATCAAATAAAAAAAAATCGAAACAATTATCCTTTAACAAGAGATCCATTCACTTGGGATTTTGTTGGTTATCCATCATCATTATCTCAATTAGATGGTGTTTATTACCTTTCAATGTCTGGTGGACCTCGTTTGGTAAGTCATCCAGTTCCTCTAAACTCTTCAGCAGGTGATGCGCCGTGGCCTCTCCCGCCCGCCTCCTGCTCTTCCACTCCACCAGCATCTTCAGCTTCTGCATGGTCACATCTTTCTCTGCCGCCTGGATGTCGTCCAGCTCCCTGGAGTTCAGGTCCAGATAGATGGCCACCTGCTTCCACTCCTTCCCGAGCCGCTTGGCCACCTGCAGTAGCTGCTTCTCCGACATGTCCTGACCCAGAGTCATCGCTGGTTTCACTCCATCTGGAAAAAGACCCACAGGTACTTTATGTCAGTATAACTTTAAGGGGAACAGATGCATCTGTAAAGAGTTCAGGTGTGTACCGGTTTCAGATGACCTGATTTGGGAGAAAACAAAAGTTAGTGCCTGAAGTTATTCTCGGATCAGTTACCTGACACATCCTGCCACCGAGGCCTTTTACAGCAGAGTTCTTCTTCTGAGGGGCTGCTGCTCCTCTGTCTGTCTGTAATAGAGGTACATGATGTGAGACAACCGGTAAGAGCTGATAGCATGGTGGAAAACAACAATCTTATTAAAAAAACAAGAGGCTTACTGATGGTCCTTTTTCTTGATTTTTTTTCTGTGTTGTCCACACAGTCACCTAAGAGAAGAAAGTCAACATCATCACTGCTCTGGAGTTAAGTAACGCTACACACAAACTTAAAAACAAAACAATATGCGGAGCCCAGTCAAAGCTGGTATATCTGCAAAAATCCTTGTTTCTTTCATTGTCAACTGTTTTATAAACAAAGAAAAATGGTGGAAAAACTATAACTTTTTAAACAAATATGGTCCGATTCTTTCGCCTCATCTCCTAGCTTTTAATCCCCCCCCCCTACAAATCACCAAACATATTCAGTGTGAGATTCAATGAGCAGGTACCTTCTCTGATGGTGGCGGACCATACGGTCTCCTCAGTGTTAATCTCTATGAGAGACAATTTAAAGGGAGGCGGCTGCTCGAAGAAAGCTTCAAAGTAGCCCTTCATCTTTGTCACAGCAAGAGTGAATTTCAAATCCTGTACAGGGTCAAATATATACATATTTATACAACGAAAAATAATTAAATTGTGATGTCTGTATACTACTGTGTATTTATATATAAGAGTAGACACACAAGCATATGCGAAGAGACCAACCTGAGGTTTGATATCTCCCTCTGGCTCACTAAGGAGACGATACGTCCCTTCGTCCAGTTTACATGTGGGAGGCTTCTCTATTCGGATGTAGCGATTCTTGTAGCACCGCACCTGTTTGCCTATATCCTGTTTGACATAAGGAGAGCAGGAAGACAACGTAAAAAATAAGCCACTTCCTTGCAGTTTGATGAGCAGGCTAAATGGTGATTAACATTTACTAATGGAAAAACTGAAGGTGTCTCAAAGGAAAAAACATCCACAGATCCGGAAATAATTATATATATGAGAAGGAGTGTGATAAGCAAGAGTCATTAATATTAGTCACTAATCACTCGCCAAATATACTTTAATGTATTACAAAAAACTGAAAATCTGTGGCCAACTCTACCAAGTGATGAAACAAAATTAACAAGAAGTGAAAGTTACTGTTTGTTTTGGCTCTGATTCTGTTCTCAAGTTTGGCACACAATTTCATTGGCAAGGCATTTTGCTGGAGTTTTATCCAGTAGGCGGCAGTTATGATTAAAAGTCATGGTTTACATTTTTAGGAAGACTCAAGGGATGGTTTGACAAATGGAATATTTATTGGTAAGGAAACAGCACAAAGAAATTTGGGGGATTTTGGTCCGTTAGATTTCTTCCCTTGGGCTCTCCTAAATGAAAACACTTAAATGTGCATTAGACCAACAAACTTGCTCATTCACATCTTAAAAGTAAATCTTTACTGGTTTTATTTAAATATGTGTAAGAAGTGGTAATCAAAATGAAAGTGTAATTAATTTGCCTTAGGAAGCCGAGTAAAAGATGTGCATTTATTATACAAGCTTGTATGTATTCAAACGTCCTGTCGATACGCAGTCATTTATCACCGTAAAGGAACAGATACAGCAATGTCAGTCAGTCAAGACAGATGGTGAAAGCAACAAAAGAAACAAAGGTTCAGACATGAAGTAGCTGTTTAAAGTGGAAAACTGCAACTACAGGAAGTCTCTGAGAAATGACCACATTTCTCAAACAGCTGTCACATTTGTATTGGTTTAAAAATGCACCTTAAGACCGCTGACAACGACAGCTCCGACACCAAGTCTTAAAAGGAGCAAGTCAACTGTCAATCATCTATTTTTGAGAAAAATGTTTTATTCAGTTCCACATTCACTTTTCATCTAATGCTCACCTTGATATCAGATGAACTGTTGGTGGCCAGGTAGACGTGGAAGCTGTAGTTGTTGTTGTCACTGCCCACCTGCTTGTAGACCAGGACCACCCCGTGGCGTTCTACAGATTGGCTCGTCTGAATGATGGGACCCACGGGAGACAGAGACGTCACGTTCCACTTAACATGGCTCCCCGAGTGGTCCACTGTCGGCTCAATGAGAGGACGGTTGTCCTTTATGTGCAGGACACTGAATGTCATCCCTTTTTCTGGATCTGTTTGACGTCATATGGAAAAGAGAAGGTTCAATGTTTCCCTTGGAGCAGCTCTATATCATAGATAAAATAATATGATACTCACTAAAATAACCTATTTTGTGTGAAGGTCTTGTAACGGAGGTGATCTCTGGGGCCATAGATCTCGGCCTCCGTTACAGATTGCATAGCTTCGTTGGTGGTTTTGTTTGTCTGTCTGTCTCTGTTTCCTGTTTTATTTTGAAAAGTGTTCCCCCTCCCGTCTTGTCTGTTGCTGATTGTGTTCACCTGGTGCCCTGTGTTGTCTCCTCCCCCCTCACCTGTGTCTTGTTGGCTTGATTAGTCTGTGTGTATTTACGCTTTGTTTTTCCCGTTTGTGTGTGTGTGAGGTCCTTGTTGCTGGTGACTGTGTTCACGGGTAACAGTCATATTGAGGCTGTGAATCATGTGCCTATGATCAATAAATGCCCACACCGGGTTATATTTGAACTCTCTGCCTCTGCCTCCTTGCTTGGTCGGGCCACTCAACGGTCAGCTTCACAGGTCTTCAAATAAGTATACTCTAACATCAGCTAAATGAAAACCTCCAGGCAAAATCTTGGAAAAAAATGTATACTATTAACATTGCATTATGGGCCATGGAGTCACCACAAGACCATGGTTATGAATTATATCCTACACCAGGGGTATCCAAACTGTTTTCACCGAGAGCCACATACAGAAAAATATACGAAGGGCTGGGCCACTCACCAGAGGTATATTGCCTCATAAGTTCAGTTATAAGTTAGCAAAATTAATCAAATGTAGGTAAATTATGCTTGTGAGGGTTGGCAGCTCATCCCTTAAAACAGAAACCTCAGAGTGATTATAATATGGAGAAATAGGAAGGGTGTATTTCAAGCTTGTTATGTAAATAAGTCATTGAGCTTTTTTCTTATCGACTAAGATATGTTAGAAAATGTTTCCAACTTTAATTGACTGAATTTATTTGAAAAGCGGTCTTATTAACACATTACTAGTGTAATATATTTTTACATTTATATTTAAGAAGTACAATATAAGACAAGCACAAGTTTCATTTGTGGGCCATATTCCATTATACTTTTTAATTTGCTGAGGGGCGATTCAAAATGGTCCGCGGGCCGTAGTTTGGACACCCCTGTCCTACACAGAATACACAGGAGTCCTGTACTTCATTCTCACCAGCAAGGCAGACGGAGTGAGGGAACTGGATAGACGTGAGGACGGAAGCGTCCTTATTGACTGTGTCCACGTTAAAGATGGGTCCAGCAAATTTCCAGGAGTCCGGCAGAAACGCGCCAAACCTGGACCAGGACAGGACTGAGTACCGAACGATGACCCGCTCCGATGCTTCAAACACCAGGCCGGTGAGCGAACACTCGTATGTGCCCTCTCCTTCCAGCTGCACCCTGAAACATACAGAGTCAGAGATGATGGGCATACAGAATCAATTCAAATATGTACGGACAAGATCAGTGGTCATACTCACTGCAATCGTCCCTTAGAGATCCTCCTGGGGGTAACAAGCTCATTGCCATGGCTCTGTCAAAGAGACAATTTGGAAATTATGTGGCATATTAACGTAAAGAAAAATGTATCAAGTACATTTCAAAAGGTTGCTTAAAAAATTATCTCAGTATTATAAAGTACAATTGAACTGTGCCTGTGGGTATGTATGTATTATTATGTGCAGTTATTTGTATTTTTTCGTTTGGCCTTATGATAAAATTGGATGACCATTTTAGTTTTCACTTCATATAGTGAAGTGAAAATTGTAAATTGCATGAAATTATGAGCTGTTTTGTTTTTGTTTTATGTATGTTTATGTATGTTTTGTGTGTGTGAGGACCCCAGGAAGAATAGCCAATGCGCATGCTAGTGCTAATGGGGATCCTAATAAAGAATAACAAAGAATAAGTATTGATATGTAAACAAGAAGAAGGCCTACACAAGTTGCTCCCTAATATCATACAGACCTCAACTATATTCAAGTATAATAAAAAATACTCAGGCAGACAACACAATTAAGATCAACACATTTTGTCAAATAAACATCTGGATTCTGAGCTCACCTGCTGAACGGCTTTGCATTTCACACAGCATGATTTGAAGTGACACTCTTCTGCAAGGACATATGTATTTAAAAAAAAAATGGGATGTTGTTAACAGGGTGATCTGCAGAACATTTGTTGTGCTGATATCAGTTACGATCTGCCTACCTTTCCCTTTTGAAACCTCCGCTTCAGGCCCAGGGATTGAATCTAAAAGAGTAAAATAATTAACGTTAACATATTAAAATCATGTGTAAGAAAATTAAAGCTTGTGTTAAGTCTCCGGGAAAACAACCTAGATTATCTTTTCAGATTGTGGGCAGCTTTTTTTTGGTTGTGAGCAAGGGTGGAGCACAGTTAATTACACATCACTATTGTGTTCCTAGAAAGCCGGCAAGGTTCTGTGTTTTATGGCGTAATTATGCAGTATTGCTGCCATTAACAGGTTATCCTGAGTTATGACTAGAGCCATTGCAACTATGACAACAAACTGACATGCCCATCTGGATGTAAAATACAAGAAAGTTGTAGTTAAGTAGACTCAGTCTGACAAAGCAGTTATTGAAACAAGTTGCATTCACCATTTGTGGACTCTTCCGCATTGGCCTCTTCATTGTCTGCAAAGAACATAAAGGAGATACATTTAGATAAACACCATTTGTTTTTTACCTTGTTAAATCCTTGGTGCCAAACATTTTGAAGGGTTGATAAAATGATGTTGGTTCTTACCTTCCTTTTCTCCATTCTTCTCAGCACAGCCTTATGGTGAAAGAAAGGAGGATAATTAAGGATAAAGTTCAATATATTTTTTTGCAAGATGCAGCAAAGGTCCTAGATAGGAATTAGAATGCTGATGGCTGCTAAGGGTTTAGCCTTCTTACACAGGGCCCTCGCTTGACATAAAAAAAAAAAACGTATTTATCTTCTTGCAGACATACATCAGAATACCAGCAATCTGTCTCTTGTCTGTATGGTTAATGTGAAGCTACCAATAGCAGCACATTAGCTTAGCTTTAAACAAACACTGGAAACAGGAAAACAGCTAGCTTGGCTCCGTGCAATGGTAACAATGTCTTACTACTGACCCCTCTAAAGCGGATTGTTAAAAGCATTATAGCTCATTGAGTCCTGAAGCCTTCCTTGGTTGCATAACATGCTCTTGGGGATGATAAGACAAGAAAGTCACTACTCCTGTGGCAAAATGTGTTTTATACTTTGGATTTTGTACTTTTAAAACAAAGGTATAAAAATGATAATTAATTAGCTTTAGTTTACTGGGGGGCTTGTGGATTTTGTTAGCTTCTGACAGAGCCAGGCTAGTTGTTTTCCAATATTTTTTATGCTAAGCTAAATGATCAATGTCCAGGCTGTAGCTTCATAATTAATGTACAGACATGAGTGATATTGATCTTCTTATCTCAAGCTCTACTAAAAAGTAATTTATGACTAAATGACTATTCATTAGATGTATGATTAGTGATGAGTCAAAGGCAGCCTCTCACCAGAATTCTTATCCTCCTCTTCGTCTTCCGAGCTTTCCTCAGTGGATGTTTCTGTGTTCTCTATTCGACAATTCAAAGTGTGACACATGTAAAATATTGAATAATGAGTATAAGTGATTCATGCCACAAAGTGTAAAATGTTATGAGAGAAATAAGTTGCATTTAAATAAGGGAATTACATTTAAAAATTATGTTTTTCAGTTATGTAAAAGATCAAATTAGTTAAACTTCTGTGATGTGATATGTTTGTGTTTACCTGAACTGCTGCCGTCACTTTCTCTCAGGTTATCTGTAACATATTAGTAATTATTTTAGAGTTAGTACCACTTAAACAAATTCCATAATGTCAAAATATGAGAAAAGGTCAATGTAGATTCCCATATTATTAGTAATTATTATTACCATACATCATTACTAATAGTTATTGTTAACCAGATAATCATCATCATCTTTAGGGGAACTTTCAAAGGTTTGATAGTTTCATCGACCCATTTATGTGGTTATCATATTGCCCAGCAGTTAAGTTCCTGACCGACTTAGGTTTCACAACTAGTAAAAAATTAAAAAGTCTCATGATAATTTGACCTGAACAGGACACATAAAATTAAAAACAGAACCTAATTCTATTTAGCCACAAACGTTTCACTAACCATTTTCTACAGAATAACCCATTACTATAGGGGGAAGTATGTTAACTTGTCTGCTTCTTTACTTTATCATGCATCGAAGCCCCAACTCAACTCTGATTTAAACTTCCCTAAGGAAAAAAAGAATAGAATCTTAATGTATGTCAGAAAATGTGTAAAAGTACCAAGTTTTACTTTGCGTCACTGGGGTTCTTCCTTTAACAGGTGCAACCCCAGGCAGTGAGAAACCTCAACTTTTAGTAAATATCTATGCTTGCATGCAGTGTGTGTGTTTTCATCCATATTACTCATCAAAAATCCCTCAGCATTTCTGACTTACACCACTAGCTTTTACATATCCATCACTCCTTAGCAGTTGAACTGTGGCACCCTGTGAAGAAGCCTGTGATAAGTGCCATGCATTAACATTCTGGCACATTTATATAGATGGGTCCAGAGGAGCTGCTGCGTTCTCTCTTCCCAGCAGCAGTGAATTCACCAGGCCATCTGGCTGAGTGCCTGGCCGCCTAATGGATGGAGCCCGTCCTCTCTAGCCCACAGAGTTTTATCTTAGACTAACAAGCAGATGCTGCCATCACTGCTCCACACGCAACACCTCCCTCATCAATCTCTCTCCTCCACCCGCCTCGATCTGTCTGCTTCACCTCTCACTGCAGTCACCCTCCTCCATTTCTCTCTCCTTGTCCTCGTATGCCTCCTATGGCCAATCTCTCTCTATACTGCTGCCGCCTCATCTGAGCCAGCAGGCATCCCTCTTCACTCCGATGGACAAGCAAGGTGGAGATAAAACACCAGTAAAGATACACACATGCAGACACAAACACACACACACTATTTAGCAGTTTCAAAGGTTGGGACTGGTTCATGGGTGTTGCCTGCCGTCTGCTGGTCACAACAACATAGCAAAAGCACTGCTTAAAAAGGTTTATGTGTGGTGTACAGCAATGGCTATGAATCTGTTGGCGAGACATGACCGATACACAATAAATACTGTTTCCATTTTAGTGTGTCAATACAGATTCAGTGTCTCCTTTCTTTTATATTCATTAAGACATAGACATATCTTCAGGATACTCTGCAACTTCTCCAGGTGCACCATAGAGAGTATCCTGACTGGCTGCATCACGGCCCGGTACGGCAGCTGCACCGCCCTCAATCGTAAGGCTTTACAGCATCATCTGCAGCATCCGGACTAAAACCACCAGAGACAGTTTCATCCCACAGGCAATAAGACTGTTAAACAACTGAACTGCTGAAACAACATCTGTAATGGCAATTCCTGTTCCTATGTCCTATGTCATTTTGCCATTGCTTCACAGAAGGGGTTGAAGAGTGATCCAGACGCAGACACAAACAGATGACTTGATGGTCCTTTGGTGCAGTTTATAATGAGGTTTATTATCGTTTTACATAACAGGGTTTCATTTTACAGTTTCGTTGTAGTGGTGAGCATCTGCCGGGCTGGTGAAATCGGTATGCTCTTTCCTTCTGTGTCTTCCCGTCACCTGGTCACCTATGACCTCTTTTATACACCCGGTGCAGCTCAACCCCGCCACCAAGTGTTCAAAAATAATATTGCACTATACGTATAACTTAAATAAACTGACACACCAACAACACCCATAAAATGGCTCCTACACACTGGCCCTTAATTGGCTTTAGTATGAAACAACAAAAAACAATTGAAAATAAAAATGGTGTGTTCTATGTGTTGGTTGTAACTCTTAAAGAATTGTCAGTTTCTTTTCTTCTCCCTTATTTTAAGGGTCATCAGTCTTTGCTGTTCTTAGGTTGAAGCAGTCGTGTTGCCATCCCGTCCAGTGCTGAGAGAACCTGTGGGTTATATTTTCACCCAATTCCAAGCCTCTCCTTATAGGGCTCCTGCATTGATGAGTCAGTCACTTCTTCAGGTCTGTCACTTGGATTCAGCCGGTGTCCTGCTACCATAACAGCAAATTCGCAGATGAGCTGCTCGCCAACATGTTTGTTGTTGGGCAAGCTGGGATTTTCTTGTCTGAATGGCAAGTCTAGGCAGTAATGTCCATCTGACATCTTCACTTCCACTTCCTCGGCCACAGGCTTGGCTTCTTCCTCAGGCACTGCGTCGGATTTGTGTAACTCGACATCTGCTGTGAAGTCAGGCATGCTGTGACAGGAGTCTGAAGTCGGCTGGCTTTCAAAAGGCTCGCCTACTGCCTCTTCATCTTCATAGTAATCACCTGAATCCCGACCCTCATCTTCTTCTTGGGGGAGACTTTTTTACAGTCTGCCGGTTTTCTCCTACCGCTACAAACATCCGTCTGTGGCCTTCCTCTGCATTTACCCCTACAGCTCTCCGTTTCGACTC